TTGGTTGGTTTTGGGGTGTTTGTTTGTTTTAGTAACTGGTGACCAGTGGGCCAGGCTGGATGCAGCAGATGCTTAAACACAGTCGCACCGCCACACCTGTGCTGGTGTTTTCACACACCTGCACCATGTTAAAATGCTCACCACAGATTAACAAGTAAACCAAATGAAACCCATGCATTCCTTACTTGGAGAGGTAGAATGCCAACAGAAGAGAGGAAGAGCCCAATGAGATGGATTGACAGGGTGACTGCAGCAGTGAGCTGTAATGATGGTGAGGACAGCACAGGATGGGACAGGGTTTAGATCTGTTGTTCACAGGGTCATGCTTGACTCGACCACACCCAACAGTGACAAATAGCATACCTTTCTCAGCACAAGATGGCACACACTACGTTGATTGATGCCAAGATATTGAAAATGAGTACTGAATTTAGAAAATAGATCTCAGGAAGATTTGAATAAACTTTCCCTGTGATATACCCAAGATATTATTTAACAAACCATCTCCCAATGAAAACAAAATTTCACAGGAAAAAAAATAATGCATAATAAAAAAAATCGTATAATCTAAAAATTAATTTGGGGAAAAAATAGGAAGAACATGTAACAATTATAATTTTGATTAAATTACGTTTCAATTAAAACTGAAGAATAATCAAGGTGGGGGAAAGATGGAAGAAGAGGGGATGAAAGAAGAGGGAGAGATTGAATGTCTTTGTGTCTCTCTTCTCTGTGAGTTTGTTGTTGTGTCGTCGAGTCTCTTGCGACGCATAGCGACCCTGTATAAAACAGCCCCTAAACCTTGCTCTATTCTGTGCCAACTGCACTGCCTCCAACACACCCATCCTGATTAAACCAGTCACTAAATCAACCCACCTCATAGAGGGTCTTCCCCTCCTGCACCGTCCCTCCACACTCCCAAGCATGATGTCTCTCTCCAAGGACCTGTCCCTCCTTACAACATGTCCAAAGTATGTCAGACAAAGCCCCAGAATCCTTGCCTCCAAGGAGCAGCCTGGTTTAACACTCTCTAGGATGAATCTGTTTTCTTGGCAGTCCAGCGTACATTCAATACTCTTCTCCAGCACCACAGCTCAAAGGCATCAATTCTCCTTCTATCCTCCCTAGTCATTGTCCAACTCTCTGATGCATAACAAGTGATTGCAAAGACCATGGCCTGTATCAGATGCACCTTAATCTCCAGAGTGACACCATTGCTCTTCAGTACCCTGGAGAGGTCCCTAACAGCAGACTTTCCCATTGCAATATGTTTTTTAATTTCCTGGCTACTGGTGCCAAGAGTGTTGACCATGGAGCCGAGCAGACTAAAGTTGTTAACAATCTCAATCTCTTCACCATCCATCCTGATGCTGCCAGTTGGCCCAGTGGTGAGAATCTTTGTCTTCTTGACATTGAGCTTCAATCCATACTGAAGGCTGCAGTCCTTGACCCTCTGCAGCAAACATTTTAGGTCCTCCTCAGTTTCGGCAAGTAGGGTTGTGTCATCTGCATAACGCAGATTGTTAATAGATTTTCCACCAATCCTGACGCCACACTTCTCCTCATAGAGCCCAGCCTCCCGGATAACCTGTTCTGCATATAGGTTGAAAAGGTATGGAGATAGGACGCATCCCTGGCGTATGCCTTTTCCATTTTTGAACCATGCAGTGTTCCCTTGCTCTGTTCTGACGACTGCCTTTTGGTCTGAGTATAGGTTTCACATTAGCACAAGCAAGTGTTCTGGGATTCCCATTCTTCTCAGAGTCAGCCACAGTTTGTTATGATCCACACAATCAGACACCTTTGCATAATCAATGAAACAAAGATAGACATTCTTCTGGTATTCCCTGCTTTCAGCTAAGATCAGCCACAATATCCCAGTACCATGACCCCTTTTAAACCCAGCCTGGACTTCTGGCAGTTCTCTGCTTATGTGCTGTTCCAGTCATTTTGAATAATCTTCAGTAGAATCTTGCTTGCATGTGAAATCAATGAGATTGTTCTATAGTTTCCACACTCTGTTGAGTCACTCTTCTTTGGAATGGAAACAAATATAGATCTCTTCCAGTCAGTAGGCCAAGTGGTTTTTCTCCAGTTTTCTTTCTTTCTTTTTTTTTTTTTTTTGGCTCTTTTCAGTTTATTGCATGAAAGTGTTACACTAGTCCAAGTTAAAAGGGAACCCCAACTGGTTACATTATACAAGCTGTGAAGTTTTAAACTTGTGAAAAGGGACAGAAGGGAAATTTTCTACTCATTGCAAGGAAATCCTCACTTAAGTTTCAGAGAGCCACAAGCACTTAAAACCCATGAACCTTCAGCTGGTCGTCCTCAGCCAGTCCAACCTCTACAAGGAACTGGCATATGTTCTTGCGTTGGTCACCCTGTAGCTGAATTACTTCTCCATATTCTGGATGCTCAATTACAGCACCATTGCAGACAAACTTCTTCTTAAACGCCTTCACTAGTTTCTTTGTATCGTAATCATCAGCGATCCCTTGGACAGTTGTAAGGGTCTTCCTGCCGTTTCTCTGTTGAATTCTTATATGGATATAATCCTCAGTCCCAGCAGGAAGCAGGTCATCACCTTTACTTGCATCAGCAAAGGGGTCGAAAGAGTGGAGGTTCTGGATAGCGGACATATGATACGATTCCTTTTCCTCGGTGGAAACGGCCTGCAGAAGGCGGTGGCGGGAAAAGACGGGCAGGGGGCACGGAGTGTCGGAAAGTGAGGGGGCTCGAGGGGGAGGCAGCTGAGTCCTTGGCAGCAGCTCAGTGATTGGGGCCTCTCCAGATTTCTTGGCGCAACTTGGTGAACACATCCAGGGCAGCATCTGTTAGCTGAAATACATCAATTGGTATACCATCTATTCCTGGGGCCTTATTTTTCACTATTTCCTTGAAAGCAGCTTGAACTTCTTCCTTCATCACCATAGGTTCTTGCTCATGTGTTATTTCATTAAATTCTTTTGTGTCTGCCAGTTCTTTTTGATACAATGACTCTGTATATTCTTTCCATCTTGTTTTAATACTTACTGGATCATTTAATATTCTGCCTAAAGCATCCTTGATTATAGCAACTCGAGGTTTAAATTTGTTCTTCAGTTCCGTGAGCTTAAGCAATGCTGAGCGAATTAGGCCTTTTTGATTTTCCAACTCCAGCTCCTTGCACATTTCATTGTAATATTTTGCTTTGTCATCCCGTGCTGCCCTTTGAAATCTTCTGTTCAGCTCTTTAGTATCTTGAATTCTTCCTTGTGCTTTGGTTTCTCTGCTCTCCAGTACAATCTTCAGAGTTTCTTCTGACATCCATTTTGGTCTTTTTTTTTTCTCTTCTGTCTTTGCAATGACCATTTGCACTCTTCCTGGATGATACATTTAACATCCTCCCACAACTCATTAGGACACAGTTATTGTTGTTAGGTACCAAGAAATTGACTGAGACTCCAAACCTTGCCCTATCTTGCACTGTCTTCATGGTCTCTATTTCAAGCCCATTGCTGTAGTCACCATGTCAATCCATTTTACTGAAGGTCTTCCTCTCTTTCACTGAACCTGTATTTTTCCTGGCATAATGTCTTCTTCCAAGGACTGGCTCCCCCAATAACATGTCCAAAGTAAGTGAGCTGAAATTTTACCATCTTTTCCTCTCAAGAGCAGTCTGGTTGCACATCCTTCAAGACAGTCTTGTCTGTTCTTTTGGCCGTCCATGAAATATTGTATATTCTTCACTGACACCACACTGAAAATGTGTCAATTTTTCCTTGGGCTTCCTTATTTATTGTCAAACTTTCTGATACATATGAAGCCATAGGAATATGAAGCAATATGGCTTGTGTCAGATTCACCTTAGTCTTTAAACTGACATCTTTGCTCTTTGGAATCCTTCAATACTGCCTGCAGCTGACTGTCGGGTACACCGAGGGGACTATGGGACTGAGTAATGGCAGCACACACACACCTTAAGAAACAGAATGGCTCTTCTGAAGGCTGGGTGTAATGGTGTCTCTGAATTTGTCAGCTTTGCTAAAAAATAGTCATGTAAAGAACTAACCAATACATTTGTCTTTATATCTAAAACAGTGTGATTAGTGATTCCAAAAAGTGAGACCATAAGGTAGAGTTTCCCTGGGACTACTTTTGTCTCGAGAATTCAGAGAACTCTTCATTTACTCCCCATGATTTTTCTATTGCCAAACTGGAAGAGCCACCATGCCTTCTCCATACACATTTATACAGACTTTCCCTAAAAGTGGTGGTGGTGGTGGGGTGACAGTGCAAAGAGGGACTGCAAAAGGCCTTTCCATATTTTTCTGCACCAGGATCAAATGATAATTGTGTGTGCTTCCAGTACTGGAAATAGTAAAAAAAATAAAGAGAAATGAGCCCTTAGCTAAAGAGGCTAAGTGACAGAAGAAGGTGCTTGACTTCACTGTAGGGACGTTGATGGAGAGCTGGGCTCCAACCTTGACCAGACTTAGCTCTGAGACTTAGAGAAAAAGCAGAAATAAGGGTGGAGGGAGTGCCCAGTGTAAGAGGATATATTGATTTAAACAAATTATTTCACCATTAACATTCATGAAAGATGTTGTTATGTCATGACAAAGATGTTATTAAGTGCTCTCAACTAGATTTCAACTCACGGTGGCCCCATGTGACAGAGTAGATGTGCCCCACGGGTCTCTAAGCTGTAATCTTTATGAGACCTGACTGCCAAGTCCTTCTCTGTTTTAATCTCTTGAACATTTGCAAAATTAACCTGTCTCCAGAAAGTACTTCTTAAATGACCCACTGGAATAATCAGACCGGTCTTGACTTTCAAATTTGATCAATTTATAGTAGATCTCACTTCAAATTGTCTCTAATTACTATATTTTCTCAGTGGAAGTCCGCCCACTTGAATAGTCAAATGCCATGAGCCCCGTTGTTCTTGTTTCCGTCGCCCACTGGATGGATGTCTGTGCTCCACAGCACAGCGGCCACCCACTGGGCTGCTGGCCATCTTATTGCTGCTCTCTCCCCCGGAGCTCCTTCTGGTCTATCCTTTCTTGAAGCTGTTCTTGTTCCTGAGATGTCACGTCTCCCTCTGGATTGCTACTTTTTTGAAAGTAAGAATTTTCCTTTCCCCTTTGGCAGGATGACATGATTTCAAAATCCCACATTTTCTTCCTTTGGAGTTTCTTTCGTATTGTCACAAAGAGAATAGTACACACCAAAAGTAGTAGTCCCATTGTCACGTAGAAAAAGACATGAAGCCAGGTAGGAATTGATGACTCGATATCTGAAACAGAAAAAGTTACAGATAAGAGATATGACTTAGAGACCAGAGAAGTCCAGTTGAGACCTATTTAGAAGGGAAGGTTAACTGAGACTTCTGGTCTACCTGTCTCCACTGGGGTCCTGGTAATGACATGGGGCAGGAAGCAGGTAGCTCCAGCTTGAGTAAAAAGAAGGTGGGGTGCTAACAAAAATTAATTTCCAAAAGCCCAGAAGAGGCTATTCCTTGGAGAAGGACATTATACTTGACAAGGTGAAGGGACAGCAAAGGAGAGGAAGACTCTCAATGAGATAGATTGACACAGTGACTGCAGCTTGAGCGTGTCAGAGATTGTGAGGTTGGCACATGGTAGGACACGGTTCAGATCTGTTCTTCATAGGGTTGCAAGGAGTCATACTTGATTTGATGGGCACCTAACAACAACAAAAACAGAGTTCTGGTGGCCTTGAGGATAGCAAGTTGTGCTGTCAACTCAAAAGAGGGTGGTTTAAAGCCTTTCAGTGCTCCATGTGATTTACTGCCTCTGAAAACCTGCTGGAGGGTCAGCTGGGTGTTAGCTCTGACTTGATGACAATGAGATTGACAGGTTTGTTTTTTGTTGTTGTTTTTTTTTATCAATAGAGTTAGTTTCAGAGACAAAAGCTATCTTGATGCCTTTAAACATGTGGAGTTAATTTTAAAGCTCCCCATCTCTTCACTGTTTTTAAGAACAGACACTTGACTAGGCACCCATGCACATCCCACAAGACTCGCTGTCTATCAACCCCCAACATGGGGTCCGTAAAGCAGGCACTGTCCTCCAGTGTTTTATATCCCAGACCCTTGACAAATGTCAGTTTCACAGACAAAAAAGGAGCACCTGCTCCTGTGTCCATCAGTTCCCAGAATTCTCACTCACCTAGCACCTGAAGCTCCAGGTCAGGGCTGCGCTTGACAACAGATTCATCTTCTGTGGTTGCCTCACACCAGTATAGCCCAGAATCTTCTCTTTTAGCTGTTAGTATCTGGTATTCAGAGGATATGTTCCTGTGTGTCAGGGTCTTGCTGCCCACATAGAAGGAGAAGTAAAGCTGCAAACCAGGTCTTGGCAGGAGCAACTTAGTTTCACAGTTCAGGTTTACAGGATGGCCCGCTGGGAGGGGTCCTGACAAGGATGCTCTCAGCACCGGGGCTGGAAATAGCTCTAAGGAGAAAGTTGACAGGGAACAGAATGGCTTGTTTCAACATTGAGCTTATTTGTAACAGAGACCTTCTACCCCTCAGAAAAATTCCAGCATTGGAGAAGACCTCCTTAAGACACAGTTTTACTGATTCCAAGATATATTTCTTGGTGGTTTCAGCAAACATAACAGCTTCCAGCTTGCTCATAGTCTTTGAGGCAGAATATCTCTAATGCTTCCCTAAGTAGCCATGGTACATCTCATATGAACCCTCCCTTCTGGAAGTGGTCAATCAGAGTGAGTATCTAATGATTTATTTTAGATGCTAGCCAGTGCCATTGCTTATTGCTTGTGTTCCTATTTCCAAGATAATCTGGGACTATCATTTCTTTCCCATAAGGATCAATCTAAAGATAGAAAAAAGTTGTTAACTGCTGGTAAGTATGGAGGAAAGATCATGAAAAAGTGAGGTCTGAGATCATGTGCAAACTACTCAGCTCGCAGATGTTCAGGGAGAAGCCAATAACCAATTCCTACTGTCTTTGATTTCTAGTTTTGTGACACTTTCATAAGATGTTGTTGGGTTACTTTCTAAAAACCTTCATAGCAACCTTGAGTAAATCTCTCTTCTTTGTAATGAAAACAAGTCTGATGAAATGAATCCTCATAGTGCCTTGATTTTGCTATTAGCTTCTGGGATTACTGATGGGATACTGTGTTAGCTCAGAGAGGGCGACAGGCTGGACCCCAGAGGCCCAGAGTCACTCACTCGTGATGTATGGTCTTCAGCGAGGTGGTTTACCTCCCAGGGGCTCAGTTTTTTTTTTCACTTTGTTATTGAAGCAATGATCTTAGATGATTTGTGACTAACACTCTAGTTCTCATCATTGTAGGCCCAGGCCATACCTTGCACAGTGATGTCTACTCCCGCTGATGTGTATCGCTGCCGACTCATCCCAGAGCAGTGGTAGGTGCCATTGTGACTCAGGTTCGTTTTCACAATGGTGAATTCAGGATTGTGATGGGAAAACTTAAAGCTTTTGCCATTTTGATAGAAAACCATGTTGTACACCCACTTATTCTTCCATCCATGACACCTCAGAGCCAGAGATTCTCCTTCGGTGAGGACCCAGCGAGAGACCTGGAGGATCAGCCAGTCTGAAAAAAAATATGGACTTGAAATCTTTGTAGATGGTAGAGGAGACAACAAGGACTCCAAAGATTTGCCCAGAGGCTTTGCCATCTTCTTGTAACAAAAATTCTAGTTTCAGATTTCTGGTGACTCTGAGGCCTGTACCCAATTCCTCAACTACCTTTAGCTTTGGTCAAAAGGAAAGCAATCTTTTACTATCAGTCAGGCACCCAACTCCTTTTTATCATCCCTTGTAGACATCAAAAGGTGATCAGGGAAAATAGGTTGTATGGCTGCTAGAATTCCTAGCTGACCCCCAACGAATTATGTCCTTGTATCAACCTCTTGAATACAGGCAGAAGCTAGGATTTGCTTTTAACCAATAAGACTATGACAAAAGTGCTAGCTGTCTCTCTGCAATTGTGGTGCATAACATTCTGTTGTAGTAGATTGGGCTGAGAGGGTTTCCTTCTGGCTTTGAAGAATGGGGCTGCCGTGTTGTGAGAGGGTCATGTGAAAGGAAACTGCTGGGGCCTCTAGGTCTGAGTGTGGTCCTTGGCTGATAATCAGCAAGGAAGTGGGGACTTCAGTCCTACAGCTGAAAGATATTGACCTCTGTCATCGGCCATGTGGGCTTGGAAGGGCTCCAGAAAAGAAGTCAGTCTAATCAACACCCTGTAAGACCCTGAGCAAAACATCCGGCTGAGCTGTGACTGGACTCTTAACTCCTGGAAACTGTGAGATAATAAGATACCATCACCTTTCATAGTCCAAGGCAAATGTACTGCTGTTGGGGAAAGCAGAAGCACAGGTGGCGTTTTGGTTATGTATAGAAATGTGTATGAAAAGCCATGTGATTTGGCACTGGTTTGCATTGACTATATCACTGATCTGCATAGATCTGAGTATTCCTGTCAATTCTCTATGGTATACACATCAAGGTATAGTTATAGTTCTGTATAGTTGTCTCATTATGGTATGTGTGTTCTCATTAATAAATGTGTCAAGAGTTAGAGTGTGTTCATTCCCTGTTGATACCTATATTGTGGATTCCCTACTCCTGAAATGCTATGAATCAGCAGACTCCTCCAGGCGGCTGTCAGACCTGGAGAGGTTTGGTTAGTCAGCACTTAGACCTCAGAGCAAACAGACGTGATCTTCAGTTGACTGTTTGACTTGAGAATTTGGAGCTTGCCAGCCCCCACACTTGTGTGCACCATTTCCTTAAAGTTAATTTCCCTCCAGATACACAAGGAACCCTGGCACAGTACATAAAATATCAGCCTCCAGCCAAAAAGATCAGCAGTTAAAATCCACCAGCTATTCCAAAGGTGAATGGTATTCTTTCCTCTTGTAAAGAAACCTGAGGAGAGTCACACGAGTTGTGACTGACTCACCACCGGCCATGTGTGCTCACTGGTTTTGCTCCGCTAGAGAAACCAGACTAAGTTAACAGACCTCCATAATATTTTAAGTTATTAAGAAAATGTAGGAGGTTATACAGGGGGTTATTCAAGCTATGATTTTGAAAAATAAAAGGTTTATCTATTTAGCCGTTCTGTTTCTGGGGAAAGTGGTTTCAGGGCTCACGTTTGAGGTGGGGGAGAATTTTCATTGTTCATTTCTCTGAACTATTATTTACAATGTACAGGCTTACCTTTTTTTCAACAACAACAAAAGAAGTAATTTTTAATAATAATAACATTGCAAGGTGGGACCAGTCCTTGGAGAGGGACATCATGTTTGGTAGGGTGGAGGGACAGCGCAGGAGGGGAAGACCCTCTAGGAGGTGGATTGATTCAGTGACTGGGGTAGTGGGGGTAGATGTGTCAGAGACAACAAGATTGGCACGGCATAGAGCAATGTTTAGGGCTGTTGTACATAGGACCGCTATGAGTCACAGGTGACTCGATGGCACATAACAACAACTATAATAAAATCTCAGGGCCTGAGTTTTAAACATAGTTTGTTGTTAGTTGTCATCAAGTTGATTCTTTTATGCAGAACTCATATGTACAAAGCTTACTCTATGAACTCTGCCTTGTTGGAGTGATATTTGGGAACAATTTAAAGACTGATGCAATGTTTCATTACATTTGGCAAGCACACAGGGGTTAGAACTCATCCTTAAATAATTCAACACATACATTCAACAATTATGAAGGGGAAAAATACAAAAGGAGCCCTTTGCATTGCAGCCCCCTTGCTCCACACCACACTGACCTCTCTGGATTTCCAACTGCACAGGGTCACTTGGCATTGAGAGCCCCGTCTGGCACCTGTATTCACCGCTGTCCTTGAAGCTGGTAGCAGTGAAGCTGTAACTAGGTATCAGGGTCTGAATAGTTGAGCTGTTGTGAAACCACAGGGTGGACCTGTCTCCAGGCAAACTCGGGCCCTCACACTGTAAATTCACGTTTTCCTCTGGGAACACATTGAGCCATGGAGGGTGCAAGGTGATCACTGCCTTTGGAAGGTCTGTTTAGGAAATAAACAGAAAAAGAGGAAAGAAAAAAGAAGGGAGGGGAGAGAAGGGACAAAATGGGATGAAAAGAAAGGACTTTCAGCAATTGGTAAGGTTTTATGACTAGTACAAGGAAAAAAGGTTATATGTTCAGAGATTAAACAATAGGCAAGTGGGAATCTATACAAGGCAATTGTTAAGAGTATCCAGACCCTGCTACAGAAGGTGCTGTTCCTGTTCTTAAATTCTTACCTGCAAATTAGAGATTTAGGTTCATGAGGATTAAGGTAGTGCTTAATCCTCAAGATTAATGGACTCTGGTGGTCTAGTGGTAAGAAGCTGTGTTGTACTCCCAAAGGCTGTGGTTCAAATCCACCAGCTGCTCCAAGGGAGAAGGAACTCCTTTTACATGATTAACGCCTCTGAAAACCCGCTGGAGGGTCAGCTATGGGTCCATTTTGACTCGATGGCACACAACAATTAGATCTCATTGCTTATTGATGAGGAAGCAAGGTTTCAAAGTAAGGAAAACTGATTCTCCAATATATAGTCTCTAAAGGGTAATCAAGAGCTTAACTAGTACTTTCACTGGAAGAAGGTCTAAACTCCTCACTTCAGTCTTAGGGGGTGTAGAGTGGGATGAGGGAGGCATACAGCTATCTTCTAAATGAGATTGACCTGACGGATATTGAAAAACTTAACAAAACTCTTTTGGTGTTTTTGTAATTTAATTCTGGTTCTTTTTTTTGCTATTATGTGTATATTTGGTCTGTTTATTCCAAAAGCCAGGGTTCACTCAAAAAAAAACCTTAGAAAGAACCCTTGAAAAGTTTCTCAAATCACACTTTGAATGTACACCCTTTGACACAGAGTCCATCCCAAATCATGAAGGCCCCAAGTGTGGCGGAGGAAAACTCTGCCCTCATCCCACTGTTTTCAATGACTGATCTTATCAAAGCTCGGTTTCCAGGCCTTTCTGCTGAGTCTCCTCTGCTTGGAGGTGAATCTCTAACCTTTTGGTTACCAGAAAGGGCGGGATCTACTCTGAAAGAAAGGGTTTAAAATAAATTCTGAATCTTTCTCCTTTTTTGTTGTCTCTCTCCACTCCTCTCTCTACACTTCAGGATATCCAGAAGAAGGATATTGAATGTTACCCAACTGAATTCTAACTGTAATTTGGAAGCAGGAATGAGTCAGAGAAAGAGACGTTGAGATAGAAATCACTCACCCACTTGTTCACCACTTGGAACTCCAAGAGACCGGAAAACAGATATATTAGTTGGTCAGTGACGGTTGGTCAGGATGGAAGAGATAGATAAACAAAAAACAAAAAACAAAAAAAAAAAACAGGCTCTAAGAGGCCATGTTCAGGTTTTTTCTATCCTCTTTTCTCAAAATCAGGACACCAGCAGAACTGAACCACCCAAAATTAATTATTGACATGGAAATTTTAGACTTAATGCTATTTCACAGTCCTTCTTCCCACCTTCTAGATATAATAAATACTAACAAACCATGAAAACACACACAGAGTTGTTTTCATATTCTTAAGTTCTAGCTCAAGATACCAGAGGAAGGGGGGAAAATCATGACTACGTATAGGAAGAGCCTATACCCCTCTAGCTGCCTTCTGAGCCCAACTTACCCCAAAGGAGCAGAGCAGTCAAAAGCCACATCTCCACAGATCAAGCCTTAATTCCACAGTTTTTGGGAATAGTGAAATCTGTAACATGCCAGACATTGAAGAGTTTCTGCTGGGAGATCTAGTGACAAGATTAGCAAAGAGGAAGGAAATGGTCTCTTCTGACCATTTTCATGTTCCCTTTTTCTGGGAAAGACATCATTTATTCTTTAAGTATGCACTTCACAGTCACATAGTTCTTATTCCATCTCGCCTAGTTTGAAACTTTGGTTTTTGAGTTTATGAACCTCTCAGACTCTAGGGGCAAGGGTAAATTTTATTGACGTTCTGTTTTGATTATTCTCTCTACCACATCTCTTCTTTTCGGTTAGAACACAGTGAATCACAATTTGTGTAAGTAGTTTAAAGTTTAGCTTTCCAGTAAAGATTTCCCAGACTTGATCATATGAAAACAGATGATTCTAGACCAGACTCTGTGGGGCATATGAGGCGTTGTTTTAGTCACAATAGTTACCGTGTGCAAGCCAGCCTCTGTTCTTCCAAGAAACACAGGTAGCATCAACCTCCCATTTACATAGGTTTTAAGCAGGAGTGGCATCCACTTCCAAAACACCATGCCTCTGGAAAAATCTATGAACTTTGATAAATGACAACCGAAAGAAAGGCTTTGGGCCTTTTGTTCA